TACCTGTGTTGTCTTAAGCAAAGGATTCACCTTCTCCTTCTTCACTTGCATTATGGCAAAAATGGAGGTGGTGGTCCCAGCTGTGTGTTGTCTTTTAAGACTTAAACCAGGGAGTTCTTGTCACAGGCAATACACTCCATGAACAAGTAGCCTTTCCTATTTATTGTTGCAATTGTTTGTTCATCTTGTTGCTTGTTTCTTTGCTTTTAACCCCCACCCCACCCACCCATTTTTCATGATAGGGGCACACATGAACGCAGCTGTGACCTTTGCCAACTGTGCACTGGGCCGGATGCCCTGGAAGAAATTCCCTATATATGTGCTGGGCCAGTTCCTGGGTTCCTTCTTAGCTGCAGCCACCATCTACCTACTGTTCTATCGTGAGTGCTCTTCCTGGGCCCTCTGCCTCCAGCTTCTTTTTCTGAAATATGGCTAAATCCCATCTTGGTGTCCTGTTCTGGAAAAACAAGAACAAAAACCAAAACGAAAACGAAAACGAAAACCAAAACCAACCAAACAAAAAAAACTAGCTGAGTAAAGCTGTTGAAGTATTCCCAGCTACTTACCCAACAAACTCTTTTCTGGGACCCCCAGTGGGGGTTAACTCATTCCCTGTCTCCACAGGTGCCATTGACAATTTTTCGGGCGGAGACTTGTTGGTGACAGGACCTGTGTCCACTGCAAAGATTTTTGCCACCTATCTTCCTGAACACATGACGTTGTGGCAGGGCTTCCTGGATGAGGTCAGTGACTATAGCAGGACAGGAGAATTCTGGATGGGATTGTACTAAGACATCTCTGCCACTGCAGATCTGGGGCCCTGCCTGGGCACCTCTGACTTGGCCATGTCCTCAGTAGGTTGCCATGACATTTGCTCCCCAGGTATTATTGACTGCGATGCTCCAGATGTGTCTCTTTGCCATCACAGACAAGGACAACAGTCCAGCACTTCCTGGGACTGAGGCAGAGGTGATAGGCATCCTTGTTTGCATTATTGGGGTGTCCCTAGGCATGAACTCGGGATATGCAATCAACCCATCCCGTGACCTGCCTCCCCGCTTCTTCACTTTCATTGCTGGCTGGGGCAAAGACGTATTCAGGTACTGTCCCTCCAGACCCCATTCCTGTCAGCTTTCTGGGGGCTCCTGCATGTAGAGGGTGTGAGCCGTTAGGGTGGCACAGGCCAGTCTCATGAAGTCTCCAGGTGATCTGGGATCAGGAGGGGCCCCAAGATCTTCAGATGTGGTTCCTGTTGTTGGACTGTCTACCCTGTCCCTGGTTCAGGCTGAGAGTCCCTAAGGGTAGATGGGTGGCCTGTGGGGATTACAAGTGGCATTCTGGGCATCGGTGTCCTCAGTAGGCTTCCCTCTCTTCACCTGCAGTGCCGGGAACAACTGGTGGTGGGTACCAGTGGTAGCACCCATCCTGGGTGCCTACCTAGGTGGCATTGTGTACCTGGGCTTAATTCACTCCAGCATACCTCGGAACTCTTGGAGACTGGAAACTTATGCTGTAGACCGGAAGATAACGGAATCACCCAAGGTTATTACTCTAACCCCAGCTTCCAACTAACTTGCCCCACCCCCAAGTGGCTCTATGCCTTTAGAGCAATTGTAAGTACAGCCATCTATGCCCACAACTGTATTACAATAAAGCAACACCTTACTTGTATTGGACCTCACTCCCTGGGACCTCCTGCAGCTAGACTCCTTCTTGGGATTTTGTGGGAGCTGTTTCAGCATGGAACTTGTCATGCAGAGTTGAACTTGTGGCAATCATCCTGCCTGTCTCCTGAGTGTTGGGGACACGAGCATTTATCACCCCGCCTGGCATATCCCAGGGTTATTCCTCTCCATTTTTTTTTTTTTTTTTCTGAGACAGGGTTTTCTCTGTAGCTTTGGAGCCTGTCCTGGAACTCTCTCTCTGTAGACTAGGGCTTGAACTCACAGAAATCTGCCTGTCTCTGATTCCCAAAGGCGTGTACCACCACTGCCTGGCTTTTTTCCCCTTTCTTTCTTTCTTTCTTTCTTTCTTTCTTTCTTTCTTTCTTTCTTTCTTTTTTTGAGACAGGGTTTCTCTGTATAGCTTTGGAGCCTATCCTGGCACTCGCTCTGTAGACCAGGCTGGCTTCGAACTCACACAGATCATCCTGCCTCTGCCTCCTGAGTGCTGGGATTAAAGGCGTGCGCCACCAACACCCAGCTCTTTCTTTTTTTTAAAAAAAACAAAACTTTATTTTTAGTGTATGTACATTGAAGTTTTGCCTGCATGTATGTGTGAGGATGCCAGATCCCCTGGAACTGGAATTACAGACAGTTGTGAGCTGCCATGTGGAATTGCACCCAGGTCCTCTGGAAGAGCAGTCAGTGCTGTTAACTGCTGAGCCATCTCTTCAGCCCCCTTCTTTCTTTTCTTAATACTGGGGCATAGGGCCAAAAGACTCCAACTCTCTCCAGCTCCAGGAGGGGTGTACCTGGAAAAATGTCTACTTGGGGCCTTAGAGTTATATAAAGGACACTAGACAGACTGATGGACCTTCATGCATTGGTGTGTATGTTGGGGGGATAGTGAGAAAAGACCAGAGGTAGTCAGATTTGGGGACTCTTTGAGGGTGACCTGTGATGGGACTGCAGGGTCTCCTGCTTCTGCCTTTCTCCAGTTTTGAGCCAGAGAAGGCAAGGCCAAGATTTTACACCAGAATTCTTCAGCCTGTTTCCATAGTGCCTTCCTCAGTGATCTTTTAGGTTCACCTCCCTCACTCCTTGAAACAGGGTATTATGTAGACTAGGCTGGCTTTGAACTCTTGATCCTCTGGCCTCCACCTCCTGAGTTCTGGAATTACAGGTGTGCACCACCATACCCAGTTTATATGATGGCCGGGATCAAACCCAGGGCCTTGTGTATGCTATGTAATATCTATCAACTAACTTAAATCTCCAGCTCTCCAGGTCCAATTTTTTTCTTAATTAAATATTTTAATACTGCATGCATATTGTGTGTGTGTGTTTATGTCTTCCATCTATGGTGTGTGTGTAAGGATTCAGGCATTATGCTGGCCTGCCCCTGTCACCTGGCAGAATGCACTCAGGCAGTACTCTGGTCAGCCCAGGGTTCCATGAGTACTAGTCTGCAAGCAGGTGCAAAGGACCCCTTTAAAAGACAGACCCCCCTCTCTCCCCTTTAGTAAACCCCATGGTTCATGAATCTCTTGGTTCGTGTTCCATTGCACATTTGTAATTTACACAAATTTACACAAAGAACAGCATTGGTGCCGAAAGCTGGGAGGTTTTCCTGGCATTTGCTCCTGCCTGTGGCAGTCGGAGATATGCTGGGACCCTGTAACCTTCAACTCGGTCACTTTTCCAACTAAGGATCTCTGGATTCTTCCATCCACCACTGCCATGTCTGGCAAGCCTGCCCCATCATTTCTACTTCTGCCCATGCTTCCATGAGTTAGTATTCATACTCGTATCGAGACGGTGGTCTCTGAGAGACACTGGGTGACCCTATGTCTCTCAGGCTCCGGGAGCCCTGGCCCCTGATGATTTGTGCTCGATGGACCACAAAATCACATCGGAGCCTCCCTTAGACTCTGGGACGCTGGAGATTATAGGCTTTGGATCTTCTCTACCTCTCTCATGGAAACTGGGCCCCCTATATCAAACCATGTGCCCGTTTATTGCCACCCTACATTCTACCAGTGATCCCTAGTTGGGAGTTCAGCATCTCCTCTTTTTCACTTGTCTGTTTCCCTCCTCTTCTCAGCATGCTAAAACTCTCCCACCCGCCACAGCAGTTTCCCATCATGACTAAGTCTGTCTCAGGGAGGGAGCCTCCTTCCACCTGGGAGTGTCCTGTTTTGTAGACCTCTTATGCTCCTGTTCAAAATGTCTCTCACTCTCCTGTTTGTCCTATCTCTGCTGCCCTTCTGCCGTGTCTTCTCTATGCAGACGCCAGTGGCTCACAGTGAGCTGGCCCAAGTCAGCGTCTGCTCAGGACGCTCTCAGAGTTTTTCATCTTTTCCCCATGAATTTCGGGCTTTGTACTGACTGGTTTCTCAGACCCATGAGGGGTCTCTTGGGTTTTGTACCCTAGCACTGTCCATAGATGGTACATTCATTTCTTGGACCTACAATGGCTTTTTTTTTTTTTTTTAATGTTGTGCCCCTTGGACTTTGGTGTCCTGTTGGTTTCACACATCCTTCTTCCTCACTCATGGAGAAAAAAGCTAACGAAATCATCTCAAAACTTCCTAACTTCTGTCATTCAAAAACAAGTTTATGGCAGCCCCATCTTGACCACATGGCCTAGCTGTAGGCCCACCCACTCTATGGGTTACTCCCTTCCCTCAGCTTATGAAGAGGAACAATCTAGCCCATTTGTGCCAACTTTTTTTGCCTTTTATTTTTGTCTCTAATTTCTTCTTTCACTGGCCCTGTTGCACCTGTCTGCAGCAGATTCTTGTCACTGGCAGTTTTAAGTCTACTTTGTCTCTTTAAATCTCCTGTCTGCTACAATGTGCAAATCAGAGATTGCACTCTGGTTCTCCTTACTTTTACCCAGTCCTGTTTAATATATCCATGTGTGAGCACACATGTAGCTACTGTTTAAAAATGTAAGCTAACTCTACACAACTTAAATTCAACTGTGCTAAGCCTCAAATATTTCTAAATTGTTATGCATCTCTAAATGATGGTTAACATTTAAGGTTTTAAAGATCTGTTTCAAGTTAACAAAATATTTATAACACCCAGTCCTTCCTTTAAGCTGTTTACGAAGGTAAAGCTTCCATTACAAAAGGGGATTCTTCTCTACTTCTTGTCCTTTATAGGGGTAAATCTAACTTACTAAGTTAAAACCAGTTACAGTCAAGCTAGAGGGCTCTGAGTAAAACATCCCTCCACATCCTCCCAGCTTCAATCCAGTTCTCCAGACAGATTCTGCACTAATCTGTAGCCACACAAATTAATTACAGGGATAAAGTCTTAACTAGACACCTATGTGCTTAAGGCAAGTAACTAAAGACAATTTTGTCTGTTGAGATATACTAAACAGGCAGACAGCCCTCAAATGCTCAGAGATCTAGAGAATATGACATTTAAAATGTTTTATTAAAAAGGGTTTTATAACAGAGAGACAGGCCAGCTGCTGGCCCCACCCCATTTCCTCCAAGAAGACTGGTGGACACTGAAGAAACTCCACCCACAAAAGTGGCAGTGCTAGCCACTAAGCAACCCTGCCTATCACTCAACTGCTGCAAAGGACTCTTCGGACCGTGGACAAGAGGACAGTGGGATCAACTTTTTCCACGTTGCTAGGGTCAGTGGTAGGCAAGTCTTCCTACAGTTCCTAATTCACAGGTCTCATGCTATCAGCAGAAGGCAGGTGTCCTCTGACCTCAACAACTGTGGAGGACCTGGGGGTGGCTGTCCATGCAGCCAGCTAGTAAGTCTCTAAGTCTCTGTTACTCTTTAATCATTAACTCAGGTAAAATTTTATCCTTCTCAAGAACTCTGATGCTTTTGACAACTGGTAGCTTTGCCAGCTTAAAGCAGCAGCCAAAGCTCCAACTGTCATAAAACAGATTTGAGGAACAGGTATTTTAGGGTTTATCTATGTGAAGATAGGAAAGTATAAGGGGTATGAAGGTCTGTGAATGTAAGTTACAAAGGTGTGAGGATGGGAAGTTCAATGTGGATAAATGCAAGTTATGAAGGTCTGAGAATGTAAGTTATAAAGGTCCGAGGATAAAAAAGGCTTAAGTGATGACAAATAAAGTGAGTTGAGACATTCAAAAGAATGAAACATATTTCAGATTTCTCTCTCTCATTATGCTACTGTTCAAAGTCTTAACATTAATCAATAAAGTTTTAATACGCTACTAATTCAACTCTGACAAAGTACAAAACACCAACCAAACCGCCATATGATCATAACTGCAAGGTCAAGATTAAGGTATTTTTATTGTGCTAAAAATATCTGTCAGTTTTAAAAAATGTTAATGCTTTCCACCAAGTTGCTTCTAACATAAATATGCTGCTACTGTGTCTACAATTTGTTTTCAATAAACTCAAAGGATTCTTGTAAGTTCCTGGGAGCTGAATTGGACCCACCCAAATAGGTCAGATTCATTCCAGATATTATTCAACCCTTCTCTGGTCCTGGGACTCCCTTCCCTCATCTTGGGACCCCCCTGGAGAGCCCCTCCCTCATCTTACAATCCTCCCCTTAAGTACCAGGACCTAAGAATTTTTTTTTTCTAAATTTAACTTTGTACTCTGCCAACATCTTGCCAGGCCTAAGAGGCACCAGAGAGTTTCATACAGCCTGGACTGCAATGGAACAACCAGCTACCCCAGGATGTGGCAGCACCCTAGCTTTCTCAGGTCCCCCAAATATGGTCAATGCCCCCCAGGTCAGTAGGAAGCAGTGTAGAGAACAAAGGCCAGGACAGAGGTCTGCAGCACACGTGTGCATAGGAGAGCGCTTCTAAAAACAAGCGTGGTCTTCCCTTTATTATTGTTTGCGGGCTATTTACAAAATATACATAAGGGAAATTTAAAATCACCCGTAACAATGCCCACAAGGGATTGTTTTTTTAAAGATTTTATTTATTTATTATGTATACAACATTCTGCTTCCATGTATATCTGCACACCAGAAGAGGGCAC